CTCCCCATGCATTTCCCTTCCCCAACCCTGCCTCGTCCCCGCGAAGTGCCTTACCATTACCTTCCTCACTCTTAAGCTCCAAGGGACCTTCCTTCACCTCTATCACTTGTTTCCTAAGCCCATTTCTTCTACAAATTACTTCTTCTACCTCTGTGTTTTTCTAAATAAATGTTCTCTTATAGTTTGAGTCTTGGCTCTGAATTCTTTACTAGTCAGAACTCAAGTACAGAGGTTGCTGAACCCAGGTGGTCCGGTCTAACCCCACCAGTCTAACACCTGGTGCCATTCTCATCAGAGACAACAATGTGACAACAACAAATTGTGAAAATGTGTGACCTATTAAATAATCTCTTATCCAGGGTATATTTTTCCCCCAAGCCTGTAGTAATAATTGAAATTATGCCTACAGCCCCATACTGCTTTGTTTGTGTGAGAGAGCAGAAACCCTTATCTCCTTCATTGTTTACCTACAAGAATTTACTTAAAGAAAAATCTAGCTTCTGTAAAAGGAGTTTGAATCCCTAATACAGTCCAAGAGATGCCATGGTACAATTTAGGATCGTGGTCAGGCAATACACTGAAAGTGACATTTTCCAAAAACTGTAATAGAAAGTCAAAGGAAAGTGAAATGGATACTTGGGACACCAGGGCGAGGGGACAAATGACTTTTAAATTTGATTGGTTTTGTTTTTATAAGGAGAAAATGATCAAAGAGAAAAGTTAACAATAAAAAGGTGATATAAAGTGGATTCCTCAAAGTGGCTGTCTTAAGCCCCCACTTCTGTAGCTATCCTGCAATCTTGTGGTGTGTGTGCGCGCGCGTGTGTGTGAGTGTGTGTGTGTGTGTGTGTGTGTGTGTGTGTTTTCTGGAGGTGAGGATGGGTAGAGCAAGAGGAGGAGAAAGCAGAGCTGTAGGTGCAGATAAGGCTGCTCTGTGGATGGCTTTAATTTTGCTCGACACCCTGCTCCAGAGTCATTCTCACATTATGTTCACTTTCCCTTCCTCTGTCCACAGAGACACTGCTTCCCACTGGTGCTCATCTCAGAGACACATGTGGCAAC